CACCCAACCATCTTGAAGTTCTTCGCTTCCTGCGACAATGTGGAAGGAACCTATCTGATAACAGAGCAGGTGCGCCCGCTGGAGATAGTGTTGGGCAGCCTCACACCTGAGGAGATCTGCGCAGGCCTGTACAACATTGCCGAGGCCCTCAGCTTTCTTCATGACAGGGTAATGCGCAACTGTGATGCCAGAAATCACCTCAAACCAGCTTGAACCCTGCCCAAGACAGCTTAATCCAAATTTAGCCAGAATTGTTGCCGACTGAATTCCACTGTACAGTGAACCAGTCCCACGTTTTGTGTGCTTTAACTTTCAAGCAACAGCAAATCCTCTGTGTAGTAATAATTGGCTGGGCTTATTTTCCTAGATTCTCAATTTTTCTGGCAGATTTTGAAGGATCTTGGACCGTAAGGCTATAGCTATAGCTCCATGATATAGTGGAGGAAAAATTACAAGCTCAATTGCAGAAAACCCCACCCCGCATGATCACCCTCATAGCCAGGTACAGGTCAAAGTGTCACACTCTTCTCAAGGGATTTTCGCCTTGTACCCACGTAACCAGTCATTCCAGGGGTCTTTGTTTAGAATGGCGGGGTATTCTGCAATTACTCCCAATTCCATACATGGACATCACCAATTTTTCCCTGCGGTGACATCAGTCATCTAAAAGTGATAATGGTCTCAAAAGTCAAATTCAGAAGGGAAAATGTTGCAGCATTTGCTTAGAAAACACTTGGGAAGTTTTCAGACAAGTCTCATAGTAGGGTGTTCGTGTATTGAATTCTTTCCCCTAGTGGTGCTGCAGCAACATTGCCTGACCAACATCAGGAAATGCTGTGATATGTGAGGCAATGAAATGCCTATTTTCTGGTCAGTCCGTCCCCTCAACTCAGAAACAGGAGAGACGAAACTTCTTTGAAGCACCAATTTTCAGAACAATATATTGGTGCATTTTTCACAGGCCATCCATGTATGCACAACATGCATTCTCACACACTGACAGCAAGGACCTTGCCACTTCGTCACCTCAACACTGTTTTTCTTACTATGCATCAATCGTTTCCCTTTGTCCAGGGAGGGGCGTCTCACAACAACGTCTGCCTGTCCTCGATCTACGTCAGCGTCCAGGATGGTGGCTGGAGGTTGGGCGGCATGGAGCACCTCTGCAAATTTGAGGATGCCACTGTGCAGGTGAGACGTAAACCTACTTGTCTGTGAAATAATAGCTGGTTTCTATGTTTGCAAAGTACCAGTGGTGTGGAAGACAAACGTAGTCAGTCACATTGGAAGAGCACCAGCCAGGCTGAGCAGTCCATTGAATTGTGGCCACACCCAGTGGCAGATTTAAGAGTATTTAATTTCATTTAATATACAGATTTAATTTAACGGTAACTAACTACTCTCCTGTCTGTTTGACTAATGGTAGTTTTTGACATATACATGTATAACCAAAAAAGTCCCAAGAATATCTGTTAAACATCATAGATATCAAGACTTATACCCAATTTTTTTTCCCACTTTTTCAGTGGGAAAGTGTTGGGACCACTCTTCCAGAAAAGTTAACCCTTCATTTCCAGCCCCACCCAAAACCAGCCCTCCTGGTATTTGCTTCCGCTCACAACATGCTGTGTGCATAACCCTTCACTTTGTCATTTTCCTGCATCTGCCAGTTTCTCAAGCAGAGCAAGCCCCTGAGGAATGCTCAAGCAATCCCTCCCGAGGAGCAAGAGGACAGCGTTTCGTCCACAGCTCCCCAGTTTGGCCACGCCAGGGATGCGTACGCGTTTGGCATTCTCGCCCAGAACATGCTGGAGTATCTCACAGACCTTGGTAAGCAGTTATCTTGTCTTGTTTTATTGGAACGTGTGACCCATTGAATAAGGTCTGTAACTGCAGATCATGGAATCAGCAGTTTAAATCCAGCACATGTTGTGACCTTACCCAAGGGTGACTTTACCCAAACGTGCCTGTCTCTACCCAGGAGTAGACAGGTAGCTGCGCGGGCACAGGTAGTCATCGCGTTTGATCAGCCATTTGCACCAGAATTGTGATACGATCTGCAAAAACCCTTCACATGGTGAGCTTTGTCATTTGGGTGCATATAAACTTCCATTTAATATGGACAAGCTCTTGTTTTCAGCTACATTCCATTTATGATTCTAGGTTGTCTACAACATGAATCTCGGTTGTCTGGAATCACAAATTAAACAGTTTTGAAAACAGGGCAGTGTCCAGCTCAATTTGAAGTTGATATGCACCAAACTGACAAAGCTCACCATGCGAAGGGTTTTCGTAGATCCCATCACAAATGGCCGCGCTCCAGTTATATGTGACCTGCTCTGCAACAAAGGGTATTAAGGGACACAGGGTGATTTTTTACTTCCTGGTTTTTGGGCTTCTATTATATCAGTACTTTCACAATTCATACAAGAAACCTAACTGTTGCTATGGGTATCAAAAGACTCTCTTCTTGGCTGATTTCTTTTTCCACTTTCTGCGTTTAAAGGGCTTTATATCTGAAAGTAATTCTGTTAATGTGTATGATATGATAATGCAAAAATCCTTAAATCTCCAGATTGCAAAATGCCATAGGGTTCAAACGTACACCAAATTAAAGCTTATAATGTTACCAAGTCAAATGTGTCTGTAACTCATTTGTCCAATAATACCCATTTTTGTGGAGCCGGTCACATAATACGTGGAAAGGCTTGCGGTAGCACCATGCGAAGGAATATATCTCTCATGAATATGTGTGGTTCTGAAAAGAACAAGGAGTATACTCAACGTTTCAGATTGCGTGCTCAGTCTGTCGTCGGGAGACTGAAGAGATGCTGATGATGAAGCTGTTTATATAAGGTGACTGGATGCAATGGGTTGTGACGATGGGATGTCAGCAGGCGGCGGATCTTGAGAGGGGCTGTGTAGAATACCTCGATGTCATTCTTGCTCATGATATGTTGGATATGGTGGGAAGTACAACCTCGGTAGGGGAGAGTAAGAGAGCCAGGGGCCTTATCTAGTTGGCTTTGGGTATAAGGGACCCTGCGGCCGGGAGGGGATCTTGGTCATGGGTCTTGAGTCTTGATCTGCTGGGGCTTGTAACCTTTGCGTGTCGTGTCAGAGCAACAAGGTTGTAACCCTCATTTGTTTCGTAAATGAGATACGACCTTGTTGCTCTAACGCGATGATACAGACCTCTTTCCTGTGATGTCACGATCGTGCTGGACCTGTGATGTGTTGTGATGGTAATGAGTGCATAGTATTGTCATGCTAATCTTCCTATTCAAATTAAACTAGTCAGGCATGCAGCGTTCGCACGTGCGCTCGCACGTGGTGGAAGCTGCCCGTGGGAATATATGTGATCACCGTGGCCAAGGCAGTCCACACGTGGTGGCGTTGTTTACATTTAGGCCACGTCCGAAACGGGCTTCCAGAGCTACGGCTAAGTCTATTGTCTACGCGTCTCCACACTTTTCCAATGGAGCAAAGACCTAGACCTAGCTCTACACAAGAGATTCTGATGCAGCGTTAGTCACATGCCTCAGGAACATTGACAGCCTAATAAAACTCCTTTAGCTACTGAAGACATGTCTAGCTCCACACCCCCCAAACTTAACCTCAAGTTGGTGTGATGTTTCCTGATGGAGGCTTTGCCGACTATACGATTCAAATTCAGATACTGTTGGACATGTGTGATTGAGAACTGCAGATTATTCTAAAACAGAAATCTGTCCTGACGTATTCCTTTCTTTCAACCGCAAGCCAAATTTCAGTATATGCAGTAGTGATAGAGCTCAGTTGTAATTTATTGAATTTAATTTTCAACACAAGAGGCAGGACACGCTGTGCAGCCACACCATGTATTGGCAGATTTGTGTTCAGGGTTGCATTTTGTTGCATCCAACAGCCACGAACAAGTGCGGTCAAGGACCATAGTTAAAGAACACCTCTAAGGAAAACACATTTTCTCTGCGTCATTCTGAGAAAACAGAGAAAATGAAGGGATAAACCCTTGGGCATGCCAAACAATGGCTAGATGTATTACATGACATGCACAGGGTTTATCCACAACAAACACAGGGCGAGGGTTTCCTTTGTTTTCTCAGTTTTCTCCTAAAGATGCAATCTACATTCAGAGCTTGGCACGAACAGAAAAGAAACCATTTTTGAGCTTGTTAAAGTTGAGCTCCGAAGACAAATGGCACTGCGTTCGATTTGGATGCTTCCATATTTATTTGAACAGATAAAATAGGAGAAAACGTGTTTTCCTCAGAGGTGCTCTTTAACCATGGTTCGACTTAACCCTGAACAAATGCATGTTAGTCAGTGATAGTTGGACTAGACCAGTGGACTATTCAGGACCAACCTGGGTGCCATAGCTGCTTTGAATAGCACAATGCAGAGAGAACCAGCTGTAAGAAAAGATGTCAGAAAAACAGAAATGTAAGAATGCCACTGGTAAACGATCATTTTCACATTTCTGTTGTTATTTTTCCATTCCTATGGCCACTTTTTCTCCCTGTAGGCCTAAATGACTTGAAAATGGTTGTTTAGAGTTGGTCCCACTTCAATGTCCTTACACATGCACTAGGCGCATCACGTACCAACCGGAAGATAACCACTGATCCTTGATCGCACTTGCCTGTGTCTGCTTCACCTGTGTCAGGTTTTCGTTGTGTTTGGCATACTTCTTCAAGAGAAACCAAACAGGATGTAGAGTTGAGGGTGAGGAGAGTGATACATTTTTAAACTCCATTTTCTTTGCTCCAACAATGCAGGTTCAATGACGGCAAATTTTGAGCAGCGAATTAACGATGAGTTTCTGAATGAGGAACCCACCCTGAGGCCCAGGCTTTCAACTCTGTTGCATGACCAACTCTTCAAGTAAGTATCATGTAAATATAGATTTACTCTTAAAAACGGTGGAAGATTGAACATCTGTTCAACTCACAAATGTTAAAATAATGTGAAATATGATAAAATACGGATTGCAAAATTTGTCAAAAACTTGAAATTCCTGTTTTTTGTTCAGTAGAGTAAAGGGAAGTCTGTCACATTGTCATTTATTCCAAATTTATCTTCCGTGTGTTCAAACGAACAGCATGACTTCCTTCAAATGGAAAATGTGATTTTATTTGTCAGGAACGACTTTCTGGAGATCACCAACTTTCTGGTCCACCTGACTGTCAAGAGTGAAGCAGCCAAGAATGCGTTCTTTGAAGGTCTAGCACCCAGACTTCACCGCCTGCCCCGGGAGCTGGTGGCCAACCGCCTGGCTCCATTGCTCCTGTCCAGCTTCGTTATGGCTGAGCCCATGGCCGTGGCCATGGTCTTGCCACACTTCATGACTCCGCTGCGAGGTAATTGCATTTGCATCACGGAAATGGGGATACTCTCCTCGCCTGCTGCCCCTGCAGCCTAGGTTGGAATCCCAGCTAGACCAATGTATGGGTTGAAGTTAAATCCTAACCTGATTCCGTACGTTAACATGTAAATACTCATCTGGGCTTTTCCTCCCACCTCTATATACATCATGTCTTCCTCACTTCCTTCTCCCGGGGCCCTAAGGAAACTGTTTCAGTGGTAACTAATAGAGCTAGCCTGATTAAACGAAGTCAAAATTGATAAATAAAGCAATCTATTGGTATGGAAACCGTAATGGAAGTTGGCACCACTCAGAATGCTTAAAGTCTCTGTGTGGCATCACAGATGTATCTGTAAAGGGGAGATTTAGTCTCAACATAAGATAAGGCTTCTCAATATGGACGTGCATACTCCAAAAGAGTACATAAGGATCCATAAATAACTCTAAGCCTGCCAGTCAGGGGTAAGAGTATCATATGAAGACTGCCCAGACCGCACCCATGGGGGCCCACAGGCTTTTGTCATTCATTTCTGGAATATGTCATAATTTGTATTACTTCTATTCATGTTACCGTACCAGAATCTAACAGCAAGCGCAGGGAGTTTCTCTCCGACCAGATCAATCCTCTGTTCCCCGAGGACTTGTACAAGCAGCATGTCATCCCCGTCGTCTGCAAGCTCTTCCCCTCGCGGGAGATGCACGTCCGTCTCTGCCTGCTGCAGTATTTTGCCTCCTACGTGGACCTGTTCGATGTCAACTTGCTGAAGCATGTGATACTGCCGCAGGTAGGTCAGGCTAGGGCGTCAGTTCATGTATAACAGTTCACACCCCAGGAGAAGTCAGTGATGCCGTGAAATTGTGGACTGTGGATAGGAAGCAGTCTCTCAAAGTCTTGTGTCACTGAGGACATTCACCTGTTGTTAACTGTACACTTGGTATAAGTGTTCCTTATTCATTGGACAGCTCTGCCGTAAATAATTAGCGGCATTGGTCTTGTAGAGAAGTGATTGCTGTAAAATGGCTTTCGTGAAGACACAAGAACCACGATTTCCCCGACCAGATTAAAACTTCACATGAAAAACCCTGCCATCCTTCAAGTCCACTTGACCACTCTCTGTTCACTGTTTTTTTTTTTTGACAATTCCTGATTTCTTTATAATTGTTTTCCAGCTTCTTATTGGACTGAAGGATTACCATGACGAACTGGTTTCAGCTAGTCTGAGGGGACTAGCAGAGATGGTACCAATACTGGGAGCACACTTAGTTGTAGGCGGAGAGAGAATCAAGTACTTTGTGGAGGGAAGGCCAAAGGTACGTAGGACCATTTGTTTTATTGAGTGCTCCTGTCACGTCCCTGTCCTGTGACATAGTCACATCCATCACAAGTCATCTAACCTCAAGTTTAAGTCATAAGCTATCCATTCATAAGCTGTGACAAAAGCATTCCTCTGTCATTGTTTGTGACAGTGATTGACTTGACGTCAACACTGACATCATGCAATTCAAACAGGCCAGACTGATGAGAATCTGGGACACTTGTTCCTTTCATGCTCTCCTGTTGCACACTTGGCCCATAAAGTTGATTTGCAACATTCTGATTTGGCAATGTGGTCCTGAAATGGGTTGCATCTGGACAGTGATAACCGAACAACTCACAGTTAACCATGCCATTGGTATGATGTTTAACTGACTTCAGTTTAGAAGTGAATCGCATCAAGTCGTTCTTCTATTATTTTCTCACTGCTTTTTTAATGTAGAATTCTTTAATTCAATCAATTTTCCACACTTACACCTTCCTCTGGTTACGTATGTGTAATGAGATTTCTTCTTCCATATGTCCAAGAATTTTATCCATCCCTTTTAATTTCAAATGGACGTTCAAAATGCTATATTTTTTTTACTCTCACAGTTCTTAAGTAAAAAGGAGAGCCCACTGAAGAATATGGACAACGTCACCAACCTGACAGCTGTCAGCGGGGTCATCACCATCCCCCCGTTGGAGAAGACGCCACCCACCCGGGCTTCCCCTTCCCGGGTCCCCGACAGTGGACGGGCCTCGGAGAATGAGGAGGAGGAGGTCGGGGGGTTGGCGGCCAAGCGGAGGGAAGAGGAGCGGGAGAGGAGGCGGGAGGAGATGCGGCTGAAGAACGAGCAAAGGAGGAAGGAACGAGAAGCCAAGAAGGCCCAGTCGAGTGGGAAAGGTCCGTCCTGCCAGATCCCCACCGTCATAGAAAATCCTTTTTAAAAAATGGGAAATAATGTCTTGAAAAGTCACTGAAAAAGTTATGGAAAATTGAGAAAAAATAGAGTGACCTGCAATCCTGTTGTTAGAGGAAATATGCAAAGAAACTTATGGAAATCAGGATCTTGCGAGGGTTATATTTGATGGGCTGCTTCTGATGTGATAACAGAATGATGATAAATTTTAAAGGCCATGCTTGTCAGTCTAAAGTAGTGGCTATGGTTACTTTTCTTTGTAAAGGGGCATTAAACATCATGGAAATTGTTCTTCCTTTAGTTCCGGAAAGTCCTGGAAAAGTGACAGACTTAGAACTTAAACCTTTGTGTTTGGCCATGATTTCTTGTGCCTGGGAAATTGCCAAAAAAAGGCATGACTAAAAACTGTTGCCGAAAAATTTGACAACTTATTTCTGAGTGGATTTGAGTGAAAATATTTGCACTGCCAATGGAAAAAAGTGACATGTAACACACCTTCGTTGAAACCCGGTTTTATCTCTTTTTATTTTTTAGTTTAGTTTCATGGGTTGTACTGGATTTATCTCACTGTGACAGATTTGCGTTGGCTGGAAATTTGTTCCTTATTTAACAATTTTATTCTTTTCCCTGAACAGTGACCTTGTTGTCCATGGCCAACTTAAACAAAGATTCTTTGGAAACGATCAGACATTCTCAACCTGAAGAAGTGTCTCCAACATCTGAGGAGACAAATTCCTCTGAGTGTGAAGAAAGGTCAGAAGAAGGTGTTATCTTACCAGAGGGGGATTTGGATGAAGCAAATCATCAGGACAAAGATGATTGGTCAGACTGGGAGGATGTAGACCGTGCTGACCAATCAGCACTTTCTACCAGTCCAGACTCTGTAATCAACCAGTCAGGATCCCTGTTACTCACTAGTAGGGAGAGACAGGAACCGGTCAAAGCCGAACCAGTAGAAACTATACCAGCAGTGAGTGGTGATGCTGTCGTCAAACCTGATTGGTCCAGAGTGCAAGATGACTGGAGTAAGGCAGATTCTGATTGGACAAATGCAAACGAGAAGGGACATGCCTCCTCCAAAAAGCCGTCAAAGTCTTTACAACTCAAAAAGCAGCCAGTTGGAAAAGTTTCTCCCGAACCAAAAACGGAAGCAAAAAACCCCAAAAGTCAGCCATCCACTTCCAAGACTGTTCCGAAAAGGCCCGCAAAGGTCCCCCAAAGCCCCATATCCTCAGAACTTGGCAGCGAATTTTCTATACCCGACATCATTTTATCCCAAAAGCAGACGAGTCAGGAACCAGACTTCTTTGCTGACATGGAACCATCATTTTCCTTCACTGCTTCCGCGAGGGCAAAAGACACCAAGAAAGGAAGCAACTTAAAATCAGCCAGGCCAGCAGCTTATCAAACAAATCAGACATCACCCATAGCCCACGTGGAACAGCCCAGATCCACCTCCATGGCTTTCAACAGGGGTGCAGTTTCTGCTGAGCCTGATGATGATGTAAGTATTGCGGGGCATAGTCACTCCTGAGTATTGCAAAATGCGTGGTCTCGCTGAGAGGTAATGAACAAATTTTTCACAAATGACAGAGTTGGCATCTGTGGCATTTGGCATCTGAAAAGGCAGCCCGTGTAGCTTACCGTATTTTTGACGCACAGTATTACCATCTGCGTGTGGCTGAAAATACCAGGAAAAACTGAAATGCAGATTAAAGTGAAGTGTGCAAACCACCCAAACTCTCAGCTCTTATGAAAGTGTCTACTGTCTTGTTTATCTTTCATTTTTAGGGTGATGGCTGGGGTTCCGATGGCGATTTTGACTGGGACGTGGAAAGCTGATAGGTGCCTGGCCCACTCCACATTCATTCAATTCAATTCTATTCTGTATATTCAGATTCAGAGCTATATTCAAAAATGTATTTAGCAGTCTTTAATGTGGCAGTGCTCAGACATGAGTGTTTCATCGCCCTTAGAAATCCCAACCAAAGTGTACTCAATTTTGTATTTCTGGCAGTATTGTGGTGTGTCACTGAATTTTTTGACTTGAGTCGAATTGAGTCATTTTGCTCACAGTGAGTCGAGTTGAAACATTTATTCAGTGGCACTTGAGTCAAGTTGCCAGGAATTGAGACTCGAATTGATTTGAGTCATTACAACTCTGATTACTGGGTAGCGTGGATTCGCAACTCGGAGAAATGGGGACTTCGACGATTAATTCTATTTTCAGTTTAAATCTTTTTTTCTGTGATTTTGATTCATTTTTAGTAGCAATGCATGGGTTTTATAAAAGAGCACAGATGCAGGATTTTGGCTTGTGACCACGGGAAAGAAAGAGAACAGTGTGCAGAATGTTTTTCTTTGCAACATGTGAATGAGAATGACACTGTTAGCGTAAACGTGACATGAAAGGTAGAGCTTAGATTACTGGGGAAGAGTCCCATACATGGTCATCACTTGACACCCTGTGCACAAACCCTATGAGACTGGTCTGAAAAAGTCCAAGTACTTTCTTCAGTAACTTGTTCAATATTCTGCCTGCTGAATGTGACTTTTGAGGACGTTATCACTGTCTGGTGGTTGATTTACGACAGGAGTGGAAAAGTGAGTGATGTCCGTGGCCGTGTTTGTTTCAGACAGGGTGATCGGTCATTGGTTTGCAGACACCGAAACTTGCATCGTGGATGGTGTGAACCAGCAGCGCTGGGATCACTAATCGCCGTCCAGATCCATGTGACCAAACAGGCCCCATGTGTGGAACTCTCTCCAGATCGAGTGTAGAAGAAGTGTGGTGTGCTGAACATGTTTTCCTGAGGCACAAGCTGCGCCATAGGCCAAACACAGGCTGCTTTTGAATAAGTTGGTCATGGCTTGAACTTATACACATGACTCTATGGACTGTTGCTGAGCCACAGCCATAGACTGACGTGTAATGTCAAGCCACAGCAAAGTAATTAAGACACGGCCACATTGCGAGTGAATCGCCCTTGTGCAGATCCTGCACGTAAGTCTGAATGCAGACTACAAACTATGCCTTATTATATCTCATAAGATTCATTCTACATGTTAAGCAAATGTATCCTTTGGACGGAATTTCAGTGCCAAAGAGAATGAAAAATAGCGTTGCAGCAGGAATTTTGTTAAACCAGCAAACAAGGGACCAGTTACCATCTAGTTTTCTATTGGGTACCGATGACTCCATGTGGTATCCAGATAGGTACAGTGATCATGCATGGGATTTTATGTCATAAACTTTAGGCACGGGAGCCCTTGTGTGTGAAATAGTTCATTAGGTGCTTTACGCGGCTGAAGATGTTGAATATTCATTGCTACAAAAGTTGGGCTTGTATTTGGCAAACATTTGTTGTGCTTTGCCATTGTTACATATAATGCCATCTTTATAAATCAGCATGCAGTTTATATTTACCATATTGGCGAGAGAACACTATGAAAGAACTGCTCTCTGCTTTACATTTCACATGGAGAACATGTCCTCTTTTCCACTCTGTGATATTTGAATTGTGAAGGCGTTGACTTTTCAATACCAGTTGAGGAATTGTTGAAAGGCAGTTGACGGTTGGTGTTCCATGATTTTTTCCTCCAGTTTTTGGAGGTCCAGTTTCAACACTGACGTGAACAAGGTTCACGTCAGTGTTGTAGTCGACTCCATCACAAGTCCCTGTAAGCCCATCACAAGTCCCTGTAGCTCCATCACAAGTCCCTGTAGGTCCATCACACGTCCATCACTAGTCAGTCAGTCTTACCCAAATTCACAAGCTGTTCAAATGAGCTGTGACCAAAGCATTCTTTTGTCATTGTGCACCCTGTTACTTATGACAGGCCTTATGCAGGGAACTGTGACTGGACTTGTGAAGGGACCTGCAAAAGGACTTGTGACAGACCAACTAAAACACTGGTACAGGTATTTCTAAACCACCTACACAGGCCGAGGGCTGATTTCCCCATTTCAACAGTTCTTGTCTATGGTCAAGAAAGCCTTGAACACAAACTGGACTTGACATGAGCAGAAAGGATGAGTTTAATCAAAGAAACAGACCGGTCACGCTTGCTAGCCAAGTGAGTCAATTTCACCTGCAAATTAAGTTTCACCAGTTAATGAAGTAACCAGTGTACAATAAATCTTTTGCGAATTAAATTTGAATAAAGTCTGGTACACCGAGTTGTCTGATTGCATATCAACATATTTTGAATTCCACTGACTAAAAACATTGTTGCTGTACCTTGTGATACAGGGTAAGCTTTTGCATAGCAACCACCATCTCTGAAATGGACTGGTTCCATTGGGCCCTTTTTAGCATTGAAAACGGCATATTGGTGGCATCTCATATGTAACTGAGCAAAAATTTGCCTGACTCATGAGGTAGAGCAACAGTGTCTTTAGAATGGAGAATTCAACTTATGTTCACTTGAATTTGAAGAACTCAGTGTATCAGATTTTAATTCGAACTCTCAAAGGATTAATGTGGTGGATGAGTGCCAGTAATGAGGGCAAATAGGCTTTGAATTCCAGAATGACAGCTTTCTGTCGAGAAATGACCTCAGGCGTCCAAGTAAAGCTTTGTAGCTTTTGCCTTTGTGTGAAATTGGTGCTTATTCATGCTTCCAATATTTTTGTACTGCGCTTTTGATAATTCTGTTTGTCAGCTGTTGCTCATTTCTGCAGCAGCCTCTAGATTGGTGGTGAAAATGTTATCACAAGTTTCTGTGAATTTGGCTTTGGCAAGATGGGTTTACCTTTTAACTCCCTCCCTCTCGGGCGTCACTTTCTGGTAGGTGAACCACGTTTTTTATTTTCCATACTTCTTATTTTTTAGCTTTTTACTCTTCTTAAAGAGTTTATCATCACACCTCTGTGACAAAAAAGCTAAGGAAAACATGTTTTTCATTGGAGCAACTGTTTACAGTGTGGTGACTCTGTCCAAATATTTATGATGTTCTGCACAATAATGGCAGCTTATGTTAAACGGTCCAGAGCCGGATTTATGCTATAAATGTATTTAAATAAAACAGACTTATAAATCAAGCACCAAGCCTTTCATTTTGATATTCATCAAAGCATGTATTTTAGTATTTTTTTGTCCCCGAAGGTAGCTGACACACTTTTAGACCCCTCCTGTGTGATACCATGGTTGGTCTGTAATTTGGATGTGTACTTGGTTCGACAACATGATGGACCTCAATCTCGACCAAGAGAGGACACTATTTTCTTAGCAACAGAGGCTCCTTTGGTCAGAGCTGCGCTTCGCTCATTCATAGGGACGAGGAAATGCACGCTTCCTGGTTGCATTGTTACCAACAAAATGAGCACTACCAACCAACGTGGCTCTTTTCAACCCACGAGGGGTGCTTCTGCTCGAGTTTGATACGCAACCCCTCAGTCCGTCTGCAGTATTGTCAAACAGCCCAACTACCCCCATAGATGTCTCTCTTAAATCGACAACTCAGTGGAAATGCTTGTAACTTTACACATGCTGTCAAAAGCGATCTATATGTTGTTACATGCTTCACAGTTTTTATCCAACAATCCACTCAAACTGAATGGTGCCGATCTAAAAGTGCCTCGGCTCTCAACACAACTCCTATCGCTTTTACTTTCTTAAACACGCCACAAGACAACTATAAAATAAGACACACAACTCAACAACAGCTGTTTTCCCTGCTATTGTTTTACGCATTTAATCTCATTTCTCTTCTCTCTCTGGGCAATACTCATTAGACTCTCGCGAAGTACAGGGTGGAAAGTAAGATACTGGTCAGATTGTACTCTTGGAGTTTTCCTGTTTTAGATGCTTGAGTGGATCTGGTTGTTTGGCAGGCTGGGTTTAATCCTGGTCTTGGTTGGCTCTCAGGTAAGACGCCTTCTTCAGACGGACGCGGTCCTTGCGTTGGGCAAGGGACATCTTGGCTCGGTTCCATCTGAGGAGAAACAAAAGTGCATGGATAAATTTTTTAAATATGTACGGAAAAACCCCAATAAATCCAGGGTTCTGTTTTGATTGGAAACTAAAAAAATGCTTGTTGATGACAGCAAATAAGGGGCTCAAAATTCCACTCTAAATATTTGGGGAGGGTCATAAAGTACCCCACACTCTTAAAGTATCTTTGATTGGTCTGTACTCATTCTTTTCAAAAATGGGCATTTAATCAACTTATAATCAATTTCATCCTTACAAGACCTTAGTAAAAGGTTTGTCTTAGGGGAGAATTCCTTTTTTAGCCGGCAGTAACTTGAGGTTGAACCCCATGGTAACTCTCCCCCCCCCCAAGACTGTCTTTCAACTTCTAAGCCTCTTATGTCACCGTGGACATTGCGGATTAGCAAGAAGATTAAGGTGCAATCAAGCACCTCCATTGTGTGCATTTGCAGCCAGATGAAGCAGCCAGGTTTTGATGACCACAGTGCTTGGTGTGCATTCACCCAGAGACCATGAGCTCATTATAGAGAACTCCTGGCGGTACCGTGAAAAACCCTGAGCTACCTCGGGGTCAACCTCGAGTTACCGCCAGTTAAAAAAGGAATTCTCCCCTCACCTCTTCGTCTTGACTTCCTTCTTCTCCTTGGGTTTGGCCTCTGGGTCGGCGCGGATGGCTTCATGCGCCTTCTTGTACATCTCCTCGATCTAGGTCAGACAAATCATATTCTCGTTATGTTTCTTAGAGCTGTCAGGTTCTCTTCCCGGTTCTCTTCCCTAACACCAGTCAGTAAGACCGGACTTTCCTACTAAAGGCACCAGCCAATCCTCAGGAGACAGCCGAAGGCTTGTTCCACTGTGAGGGCAACTCTCACGGCAGTGTGGTGATAGTAATCCACACAGCAGAAATGACCACACTCCGATTCAATGACGGGTTAAAACTGAGCTAGATAACCACAGCAATATTTTTCATGATCCTTAGTGAATCCGCATTCTGGCTAACAAGCGCATTGGGGGTACTGCATACTGGGGGGGGTGGCCATGAATCTGCCGCAACCAGGTCTGTTCCATGCATTCACTCTTATAATAATCACTACAGTTACGATTTGGATATCTGAAGTACTTAAAACAGAATACGCTGCCTTCTGTTAGTGGGTTCTACAAATGAGTTTTTACGATAACACTGAATAGTTACCACAGAAACTAACAACATACACCATTTCCCTTTCTCTCAGAGGCCAAATCTAATCAGGATCGATCAGCCGGTAATTCCAGCTTGTTTGTAATGGCATCTCATCACAGAGAAAAAATCAAACTTTTCACAGCCCATTCCTCCCAAACCCATCCACAAAACTTTCAGCAAATCCTTCATAAGATACTTCAGTAAAAGAGAGGTAGGCCATCATGCCACTCGTACGAAGGCCAAAGAGCCAACAGTACTGGTTACAGTTTCAACTCGGAGACTGCTGAACACAGGACCACTTTCTACACACTGGCTAGAGGTCAGGTTAAAGGTAGCAAAATGATACCCAATTTCATCAGGTTGCCAAGCTATTAGCAGGTGAATTTATGTGTTAATCAGAAATAAGCGGGAAACCAGTGAGAAGCACTGTACGTGTGAATTTTCAGCTGGTAATCATCTTCTGCTGAGCAAACGTTTTAAATGCTTTGCAGAATTCTGTACAAACAGCATCATAATATTGGCCTTAGTTGTTAACAAACTTCATGGATACCTAAGGCTGTGTCTAAATTACTTTGCTGCTGCTAACAATTATGCACCAGCCTACAGCAATAACCGAGGCCAGTTTCCATGGAAGCATTTTCATAGAAGCATCAGCCAAGTGATTCAGATGCTGGATTCTGGTTGGGGGGGGGCTGGGGAAGGACTCACCCCGTCCGCTTCAATGCCCAGCTTGATGTACTGGGAGAACTGTCGCCTAAAGGCCTCCTCGTCTTCCTCCGCCAGCGACCTCATGTAGTCGGCCACGTGCCCGCCCAGGATGTGCTTGCGGTGGACGTCGGCGTTGAACTCCTTGCTCTCTGCGTCGTAGCCAGGGAAGCGCTTGTTGCTGAAAGAGGTTTCATACAAGGCCTTGGATATTGTATTAAGAGATATTATCCACATTCACATTAACCCAACACTTTCAAGGTCCATAAGAATCCACTACTTTCAAAATTTTCTAAGGATTGCAGACTCCAAATCCTGCAGCATCTGCTGCAAACAAATGCATAAACAATCCTTATCAAGACCCCACATGGCCAATGGAAAGAAAATTTTAAAAAGTATTGGAAATTACAGCCTTCTAAAGTTCCCTTCCTACAGTTAACTGATGTCTCACATTCCCCTTTCAAAATAAACTCCGGCCACCCTGTCGCACATTAAAAATGAAAGTTACTGTTCCATAAATTAAAAGAACATTTTAGCAAAATAGATTCCCTCCTGCCAATTAAAAACCAGCAGAAATTCCCCATTGTCAACACCCTCTTATGTCCACGCATGAACTGGTTCTCAACTTTAAGAAACCTTTACTTCCGTGCAACATCGGGCATCAGTTTCCAGGTCGCGCTTGGCCACGATGCACGGCACGGCGCGGACAGCCACTAACACTGCAGTTCTCTGCTATCGCATCAAACAAGGAGTATTCGAAACCTTTGTTTTATTCATTCGAATCATATTGATAAATACAATTTCAAATTTATTAAAAAGTTAAAGGCTGGTACATGTACATCAAATACTAATCCACTGCATATACTGTACCATACAGTACAACGCCATAGTGTGTAACAATGCTTGCCGGTACATGATGCCAGGCTTGCGCTCTATGAATGAGATGAGTGTCGACATGTATAACACGAGGTTCACTGTAAGACGAGGTTTTTGGGGAGTCCCTTCGAGCTCGTATTCACCGTGTTCGACTGTATCTATATGTGACAGATTGTTTCAGGAGTCTTCTCTCAGAGGCCAAATCTAATCAGGAGGAATCATCCGGTAATTCCAGCTATATTTTAATGGCATCTCATCACAGAGAAAAACAAACGGTGAAAAAAGAATGAAGCCTGTTGCCAAAAAACTAAACTCCTAGTGATTTCTTACAATGTATGATATCTGCCGTCATAGCGCTCAGCCATTCAAGCACTGTGGCACTTATAGCTCCTATTTTCATAACTAGGGATACAAGGGGGCATTTTAAGAAATCCCCAACCAACACAAGAACAGGCTTCTAAGAACCACCTTCCAATATTACTGAATAGAAAAGGCAACATCCCCTTCCTGCTTTTCCCCCCCGACCAACCTGTGCGGGATGTCCAAGCCACCATCCGCTGCCCCCTTGAGGGCGCCAAACACCCGAGCGCCGGTGGTGGTCCGGGCCAGCCCCACATCCAGGTAGCAGCGGAAAGCACCTGCCTGGCCCTCCACGCTCTCCACGTGGAACTCCTCACCCGTCACCTCTGGCTGGCCCTCGTACAGGGAGTCCAGGTTGAATTTCTTCAGGATCTGTACAGGTGGGAGCAACACGAAAGAATCATGATAACACTGTCTGTATGGGCAATCTGTATGGTGCCAGAGGGCTTTCCTATGTCTGCATGTAAAAAAAACACGGAAGAATTACCAAACAACTCCTCGGTCTAATTGGAAAAAATTCTGATCAAATTTCACTTGAATCAGGATAATGCTACAACCTTACTCAAGATACTTTGTGAATTTAATGATAGGTGAATTAAAATGATGGGCAAGCAGTCACTTAATGGCAGATTCATCCAAGTTACTGTAGGAAGGCTAAAACTAGCTATCAAACCAAATTTTTTTTGGGGGGGGGGTGACAGAACTTACCCTGCGGGCCAACAGGAGACCTGTGCAGTAAGCTGCAGCGTAGTTTGTCAGCCCGACCTTGACGCCGTAGCGAGGGAGCTCATGGGCGTATGCAGCACATACGATGACATCCCCCTCAATCCTGGCGTACGCTATCTGTGATGCATCACAAGGAATACACCCAATGCTTTCAAGCATCCTGCCAAGGTTCAATATCAACTAAAGAGGGCAACTGTGTAAAAGGTTCAAACTGCCAAAGCACGGCATACATATTCACTGACCAAAAAGCACCAACTCTGTTTCGATGAATTCCATACACAAATAAAATGAAGGTACTACAACGATTCAGCCGATGAACTAACCCGACGTTAAATAGTGATTGGCAGCCTCAAATCAACCCTTATCCCCTGACAAGAAAACACATTCCAAAATTTAATGAAGGGGGTCTCCAGTATTAACGATGTAGCAGTGGGATGAAGCACACTTGTACAAGTACTGGCTTTGACAGCTCAAGAACAGTGCCAGGGAAGAATGCCCAGGACACTGGGATCAACAAAACAATTCAAACAATGCGAGAACAGCAAGTCATTAAAGTTGCGTGATGCAACATATCAAACAAGCCCACTTTGATGAAGATTTTTTAATAGGCCAATCGCCAAAGGAATTACTGGCTGAGAACTACTGGTTACCTAGTTCTTATCTGGGCCAACCTCAAAGTACGTTCTTTCAGAGTAGGCACCGTGGAATGAAAAAGAAAAACAAAGAACCCAAATCATGTGGTAACTCCACAGATCCATAAAAATTCATCCAAAAACTGCCTAATTCCACCTTCAACTCTCGATGGTCAATCTTGATTCCACGTCCCCTCCATCCGGAGAGACATCCACAGATTAGAGGCATTGCGGGAATACAAAACAACTCACACAACTTCAAAGAGCTCCGAGTAGTACAAATGAGTGCAAGGATTTGGCACTCAGGCAAGCGTTCAAGAGAACCTTTAGATTATGTACTGAAACTGAATGAAGTTTTCAACTGTAAACTCCTTTTAAATCTGTTTCGCAAAGCTATACATGCTGACGTCAACTAATTCCGTCTGAGCGCAGTTAAAAAAAAAAACTCGTCCAAGGTAAAAATCCAACAAACGTGACAGCAGGCTGAGCCTTTCAACCCACCTGCGTGACGATATCCTTGTTCGTGAAGCGCACTATCATGCGGTACTTGGGCGTGTTGTACTTGTTCTTGTCCTGGACGACCAGGAAGCGGCGCGCCTGGTAGTCGGTCTTGCCCTGGCGACGACGCTTGAACTTGACCTGGTAGCGCTTAAAGTACGCCTTGCTCTTGATCACCTTCACAAACTGGGAGAGAAAGAAAGGAAACACCCATAAAATATATTTCCAAACTGAAATAAGAAAATTATTAATAAAATGACACTCGGATAGTTTCAGGGCAGCACAACCCCATTTTAGGTGCCAAAAAAATAAAGCATTGATTTCTTCTAGTTACTTCACATCTTTGAAACTTGATTTTGCTGTCTTGATCAAGTCAAATGCACCAGCATATCTTCCAGTATCACTTAGCCAGCTGTTTTTGCCTAGTTAATAAAATACGAATGGGCCTTACACCCTGGAAAAGGGGCCCTAACATAATATAGCTACCATGGCATAAGATCACATCTATAGAGTACCAAAGTGTGACGTCACTGTGAACCAGACAGTGCAGTGCAACGAATGGAGTACGTGCGCGTGTTGTTTCACACGCTGGTTCTCGCACCAATGCCTTTTACACATTAAGTGTGCGTGTGACGTATTCACTTCGCCAAATTCATTTTCCTTCAGTCTTATAACCTCATGACTTTTGGCCGGGCAGTGTACAATTTTGGACAGACAATAAATGTAGAATTCCACAACTTGGACAGTAAAAAGACGGGTGGATTTTTAGCAAAAAATCACGCATGTACATGTACAGTAGAATACCGCTATAACCAACTGATGGGATCCACACAAAATGTTCAGTTAACGGTCGTTCAGTATACAGATTTTCAGTCACGGATACACCGACCCATTCTGTACTCCAGCCCAACTTCAAACGTGCCAGCCTGCCCCAAAATCATTTCGGGAAAATGATTTTGGGCCAGTACATGCAAAAAGTTCAAAGTTAAAAACAATTGAAATTTCTACATTCTGTTAAATGTATGTTCAGCACCAATGTTTTGCCTTTGTTTTACCTTTCAAAATCGTGAAAATGAAATCGAGGTTTCCTTGAGTTATCACTTAAAAATCCCCACAAGTAGCACAGTTACATTACACCCGTTGGCTAAATGGCACTTCGAAAATGGGCCGCACCTGGCACCACTCGAATTGACACTAGGGGCACAATTATGTACGTCCGCAATTTGGCAATGAAAAGTTAAGCAAGCATTTCTGAAAATAAGAGAAACTTTCAAGATATTTGTCAAAGATTTTGGCGAGTTAAATAAGAACATGCTTGGGTCCATCTGCGTATTTATTTTGTGTTTTGGTAATTGTTTTCGAGGTCAAATCACCTAGCTTTGAAGTGATTATCACGCACAGTTTCCTGCATCAGAGAGGCCAGTGCTGCATATAAGTACTCAGCAGCTGTTCTACAAGGCTGCCTGTGGACACAGGCACATTACATGCAACGTAGGTTAACCAGATGATACAGACCTCGTGCATTGACTGTTGTTCTATCAAGAGTGTGATTTTCCTCAACTTTGAATTATTAACATCAGTTCTAAATATGTTTATTTAAAACAAATTTGTAATTTTTGAAATGAGTGCACAGAAAATTCATAAGCCAAGAAGGGTGTTCGGTACACCTGAATGTTCGGTAAAGCAGTGTTTGTTATAGCTGCGTTCCACTGCATCTGAAGCACCTACACTGTATTTTTGTTTAGAAGAAAATACCTCTGCTTGTAAATTGCTGTGAAGGGATATTCCCGCACATTCAAGTTTCATACAACAAGCCAGACTTATGTATCATATTGAAGTTGGAGGATCTGGGATTGTTATTGTTTACAGTTGCACAGGACAGTCGAGCAATGAGAACAAGTTTCTATCGCCCTTCCATCCAAAAATGGTCTCACATATACATGTACACAATGGTCACTTGGTCAAAAGTTTGAGGGATGCGGATCAGTCCAAAACACAGCTTTTGCGGGTAAGATTTGATCAAGAAAGTTGAATCTTCGGGTGAAGTAAATGTACCCTGATCAAAATTGATCTGACTTTCCAGGGCTGCATTCAAAACCCCAAAGCATTATGAATTCTAAGGCTCAAGGGCAGACGGGGTAGTACCAGTATATTAGACAAATGTTTGTGACCGGCTCTCGGAGAATGGGTACTAAGTTGCCAGATTCAGGTTATGCACTTTTGATATGGTTGGATTCTCTACATCAAAAGCTACAATGACTACAGGAGATATATATAGACACTTGTATACCCACATCTTCGGATTCAATAAAAGCCCTTTTTGAGAAAAAGCTCATGAAGTTTAGCGCTTGGAAACACAATGCTACATAGGAGTTCTTACTGAATGATCAATTTTTCATCTTTATTCACATTCATCAGTATCCATGTTTGTAGTCACATATTCTAAAACCATAAATATTAAAGAAGCTACTGAAAGAAAAACAAAAATTCACATTTTGAAGAAATTTTACCCTCTCCAAATAGAACAAGCCATTACCTGTTTTGGCACTGCGCGACTTAATGCCTTTTTTGCAGAGCCGATCACATAATGTCTAACAGCCCATTATGTTGTTATTTGCAAAATATTCTACTGATTCCACTGTATCCTGTGTTTGCACCCACGCGTAGGTACAGGCTGTGGTATTCATGCTTTTTTGTGGATCAAGATACTGCAAGAAGGGAGGGTACTTTTGAAATTTACCAAGGGCAGGCTGTTTTGAATATCCCAGATGAAACCCTGAACCCCAGCAAAACTTGCAGGATTGTCAATCTGTGAT